TAGTAAGAACAGCATTAAAACAGAACCACTATAAAATAGACTTGTACCATAAGCCATTTTAAACCATTGAATTATTTCTGGAATTTTGTTCAACATTTTCAGGTCATGATTGGCCTCAAGTAATCAAACTATGAAAAGCAGAGTTGCAAAGGGAGATTACGATTCTGTATTCTTAATTTATGTTGCTATTTAAGTACAAATATGGAGATGTTAAATACAAGTGGTAGCTCCATTTTTAACTAAACTAATAAATGATCCTCACTAATACTATGCTTTCTCCCTGCAGTCAGAAAGCTACTATATAAAAACGGTGTCATACTCAGATGCCTCCATAAACTGTAACAGACGTAACCACACATTCACACTTACTCTTCATGATCTTTACAATTTTGTTTGCCTTCTTTGTGTTTCTAATGCACAAGGAATGACCTCATCTCGTATTTTTCCTAAGGCCAGAGGACTCTGGCTACAGGGAACTATTTGTCTATATTTAGTATGCACAAGCAACACACACTTATCTACTGAAAATTACATCATTTGAAAACGGAAAAAAAAATAGGTTTGTTAGTCTGGTTGTCTTAGCTGTTAGGAGAAATGGAAATTCAACATGCTTTCAAAGAATAAGAAAAATTGTGACATATCTCCATTGAATATTTTATACGTTATAAATGTGAATATAGAAAATGCCAAAATGACAGAAGTATTTTATCATAAGGTAGGAGTTTAACTCAAGATTAGAATGCTTAGCAATATAGTAGGAAACCAAGCAAGCTGGCAAAAGACCTAGTATAAGGAATGTGATTGTGCGTGTGTGAGGAGATTTTGTTCTAAGCACATGTTAAAAACTAAGAGAACAAAACATTTCTACTAAAGACAAAAGATAGTTTATATAGGACTAATATTCCATTTTGTATGTTTTTCAGCAGCTATCTCCAATATAGAAAGCAATAAAAGTTAGTTTATATGAAAGTTGTGTTTTATTTCAACTCTACCAGAAATGGTGAAGTGGTCTTAATGTTTCTTGGATTGTTTGCTCTTACGTGCTCAGATTCTAAGTTTTGGATGAAGAGATGAGTAGAAATTGTATAAAAAAATGTCATTGGTTAGTCTAGAACAAATGGTGATACACTCAAATATGGCCTAATTGCCTTTCGTATTGCTTTGGCTGTCTTCGATGCATAAAAGTTGTATTACTTTTTGCAAAGCCAAAGAGATTTGATTTCCTTAAAGACATTCGGTGGAGAAATACTTTTTAAATATTGCTGTAAATGTTACATTCCATTCATTTCAAAGTGACAAGCTTCTTACTTTTACATATCATATATTCACTAAGTTTTCAGAATTATTTATTTTTTTTAAGATTTATTTTTATTATTTTCTTATTGGAAAGGCGGATATACAGAGAGAGACAGAGAGGAAGATCTTCCGGCCGATGATTCACTCCCCAAGTGAGCGCAACGGCCGATGCTATGCCAATCCGAAGCCAGGAGCCTCTTCCGGGTCTCCCACGTGGGTGCAGGGTCCCAAAGCTTTGGGCCGTCCTTGACTGCTTTCCTGGGCACAGGAAGGGAGCTGGAAGGGAAGCGGGGCTGCTGGGATTAGAACTGGCGCCCATATGGGGTCCCGGGCGAGGACCTTAACCACTTGCGCCACTGCACCGGGCCCTTTCAGAATAATTTAAATAAGATGTTTCCAACTTGGCAGTGGGCCAGCAAAGCATCCACTCATTACCAAGGGGTTATGGAAAGATGTCCCTTTCCACTGGGCTGACAATTGTTTTTCTAGTTGATTTACTGGGGCTGCCCCAATATGTTGTGAATAAATTAATCATATTAATTACACAATTCCAGTCATCCATGGTCACTCTGAAAATCTGATCAGAATCTAGCTTTTTAAAAATTTTGCAAGAATTGTTTTTAGTTTCAAATATTTTCTCAGAAATTTAAGAAGGAAAGAGGACAGAGAGATTCTATCTACTAGTTCATTCCCAGATGCTTGCAATAGCTGAGGCTTAGGTTGACGCCAAGGGGTGGGAACTCAATCCAGATCGCCCACCTGAGTGGTAGGAACCCAGTTACTTGATCCATCATCTACTGCCTTCCAGCATGGGCATTATCAGGAAGCTGGAACTGGAGAAAGAGCTGGAGCTCAAATCTAGGTGCACTGACATGGGATGCAGGCATTTGAGCCATGCTCCTTGGTACCCGGTGGAACTCCTGCAGCTTTTAGTTGTACCTGCCGGAATTTATTCATGTGTTCTCCTGTTGATCATCATTAGATTATCTCCAGTTTTAGAGTCCTATGAATGATTCTGCTATGAATATTCCCATCACTTGTACACATATTTGGGGGCTGGTTTTTGTGGATCAATGAATTTCTGCGGGAGAGATTCTGTATAGTCAACTTTGGTGAATAATGCCAACCAGTTTGCTAAAGTGATTGTGCTAATTTCTACTTCACAGGCAATAAGGAAGAGGTTTTTTGTTCTACATCTTCATTAAAGCTTGGTCCTATAAAATCTTAAAATTTCATCATTTAGCTGCATCTCATTGCAGTTTTATTTTGTCTTTCTCTGTTTATTAAAGAGTACTTTTCCATATTTGGGTTAGCCATTTGCATATTACTTCATGATGTTCTTGTGTGTTTTTGAACACTGTCAAATTAAGGTCTGTAATCTTTTTTATTGGCTTGCAAGAGCTCATTATCTTCTGTAGAATAATTTATTGGACATATGTAGTACAAGTACTTGCCTCTTTCTTCTTTTTTTTATTGGAAAGTCAGATATACAGAGAGGAGGAGAGACAGGAAGATCTTCCGTCCAATGATTCACTCCCCAAATGAGTGCTATGGTCAATGCTATGCCGATCCGAAGCCAGGATCCAGGAACTTCTTCTGGGTATCCCACATGGCTGCAGGGTCCCAAAGCTTTGGGCTGTCCTGGACTGCTTTCCCAGGCCACAAACAGGGAGCTGGATGGGAAGTGGAGCTGCTGGGATTAGAACTGGCGTCCTTATGGGATCCTGGCACGTTCAAGGCGAGGACTTTAGCTGCTAGGCCACGTCGCTGGGCCCTGCCTCTTTATTCTTTCAGCACTATCTTTTGACTAATGAAGATTTTAACTTTAATGAATTCCAACATAGCAATTTTTTTCTTTTGTGATTATTTCTCACAGAGGCCCTTTTTTGAGTCTTTGCACAAAATTTCAAAAGTGTTTTCTTGGGAGAGGCTTATTTTTTCTTTCACATTATGTCTGATTATATATAATTTAATTTCTGTTCATGTGAGGTAATGGCCAGAGAAGACTGATTTCTGATTTACCTATCCAATTAACTAAGCATTATTTGTTGAAGAGTTCATCACTTCTCACCCAAATGGCCATGGCTATTGTGTGCAAAGAAGATGGAAATCAATGGGTTCGTTTGGGGCCTCTCTGTTCCATTAATCTTTCTATGTGTGTACCAACACTGTATTAATAAAAATTCCTGATATCTTTTAGTTTGTCTTCAGTCTATTATTTAATTCTATTTTTAGTTCTTTAAATTTTTGTTGTAATTCTGTAAAAATTTGAGTCTTAACTTTCACAAATATGTACACTGAATCTTGAGATAATTTGATATTTTAAGATGCAGAATCTTCTAATAAAAGTACTTGGTTTACACTAAATTATTTAAGTCTTGAATTTCTCTCAGCAGTAGATTCTAGATTTTATTTTATTTTTGTTCCAAATTTTCTATTTCTCCTTTCTGTGTTGAGAAGTGGGAGGGATGAGGAGAGAAGCCAAGCCCAGCCTTCCAACCACTCCATTAGCTGCGAATGTGGACCCACTGCCCAATATCAAGCTGTGGTCCCAATGTGGTGCACTCTCCGAGGGTTCTGCCCAGATGGTTTTGATAGTTCTGAAATGTGATGAATCTTACCGACCCAAGTATGAGGGAACCCTTTCAGTCCAATGGGTGACCTATTCCACCTTAGAGTATCCATTCACCCAGATGTTTGTTGGCATTGTTTGACTGGGGTAGTTGTCCATTTTGTTGTAGGATGACACAAATGCTCCCTGCAGAGCTCAATGGGCTGCCATATCCTCCATGTGAATCTGGGTCAATGTCCACTACTCCATCTATTCCAATGTGGAAAACCAGTTCTTGTAGGTGGGCCAAGGGCCTGAGCCAGGGTACCCAGACCCCACCAGACCCATACCCACGGGGTTTACAGAACCAGCACCCACCACACAGGTGGGCTAATTTTTAATATGGAAACCTTACATAATATACTTGGAGTTTATTACAATGTCCATGAATTAAAATCAACACTTGATCATGTTTACAAAATACCTAATAGTTTTGCTTTTATATAACACATGTGATGTCTGTAAGATAAAAACATTTAAAGTGATGAGATAACTTTCAACAACATTCAGTGCAGTAATTTCACTTTTATTAGTGTGTTGTAGTAACATTGAACATATAAAGCCATTGTTCTAACTGTATACTTCATTCATTTATCATTAAATGCTTTCACACATGAGTATTATTCTCTTTTCATAGATCACTTTTGTGTGCAGAATGCTTTCCTGTTTTGTATTTTTATTTATCTTAATCACTTTTAAGAGTTGAATATAACTTGACAACAAAACCTAGAAATTGTTCTAAAATATAGTAGTATCTTATTACCTGTTAGAATATGCTTTGCATACTGAAGTTTAATGATGATGTTCAAGCTAGCTAATTTCATAATGTCAAGTATATAGCAATGTGAGAATGTTATTTAATAGTGATAATAATATCAAACACTAAATATTCATGGGTAACAGGCTGTACTCAAAGCACTTTTTTACATAATCATACGTATTCCTCCCCAGGATGTCACTGATATATTTATCTTCATTTTGAGGAAATTTGATAAAATGGTTTTTTATTTCTGCTTTTAAGTTGCTAAGTCTGTGTGATTCAAAATTGGTTGATACTGAATTTAATGTTATCTATGCCTTTTTTTTAACATAGAAAAAACATGTCCTTTACTAAGAACAGAGGGACATCACTTTATGCAAGACAACAGCAATAAGCTTGAAGCCTCAGGTAATCATTGCAGTTCTTTGCAAATTAGAATTTTGTACAAAATTATCAAAAGCTGTGTAATGTTGCTCACTGTTGGTAGTTGCAATAATTGGAAGTCCTAGCATCAGCATAAAAATTGGAAGTAGATGATGAGATGCTGAGATTGGAGTTCTACATTATTTAATCAATAAGACCTAACATTTTGAGACAGAAAATTTGTTTGAAGTTATATCCACAGGAGATAACTTGGGGAACATTGGTGCAACATTCCTCTTCCTTCTCTGCTTTCTACATTTTTCCATTTCTCCCTCTAACTACCCATCCTTCCTCTCCTCCGCTCCATTCTTCTCTTTTTCTCCTCCATACCTCTCACCCCGTTTACTGCCTCTTTATCTGTATTGTCCCCTCCTCTTTGCTTTCCTACTTTCTCTGTCCCTCTTCCCACCCCACACACATTTTCTGTCTGACATTTATAGTCATAAAATACATATTGCATTTCAAATCCTAACCCTAGATGTTGGTAGGCATTTAAGAAAGGAACCCACAGGTAAAATATCTTTCTTGTGGTGGCATTGGGAAACTGAATATTAACACCCCCACCTGCAGCACTGCCTCTCCCCACCCCATGAGCATGGCTTCAAGGCCTGGCTGCTCCACTTCCAAACCAATTCCCTGCTAATGTGCCTGATGAAGCAGTGGCAAATTGTTCAACTGCTTGGTCTCTCCATCCATGTGGGAGACTCAGATTGAGTTCCTGATTCCAGGCAGTGGCCTGGCCCAGATCTAACAAATGCAGTCATTTGGGCAGTGAACCAGTGCATAAAAGCGCTCTTTCTCTCTCTCTCACCCTCTCGCCCTCCCTTATCTCCCTTTCCCTCCACCCGTGTTCATTACCCATATATCTCTTTTTCAAAACATTTAACTCTAAATCATTTCAAAGCATATTCTTACAACAGTATGCATTTCCCCCTTTAGGCAATTTTACCTTTTTGTTTGTTCTTTTTCTTTTAAATACCTTATTTATATAACATGAACCAATTTCACATATTTCACAATACAGATTCAGGAGCATAGTAATACTTCCCATGCCATATATCCTTATCCTCCCCTCTTGTTTTTTTAAATTTTTACAATGGCATACTTTCAGTTTACTTTGCAATTAGACTTAGTACTCTATTAGATGAAGAATTCAACAAATAGCAAATAGAAAAAGTCACCACTGTTCCAGTCAGGCTGTAAACAATAAGGAAATCTTGTAAATTTTTCTTCTCCTTTCTTCTAAGTCCTCAAAAGAGAAAAATACAGTCAAGAAATTCTGTTTATCCCAAATAGTAGAATTTTATTGGAAATGTTAGCTTATACTAAGGACAACAAAAAGTCCTGTTTAAAAATAAGTATTTCTGAAGGTTTAGTGTAAAAAAAAAGTTTAGTGTAGCTACCTGGAAATGTTGTTTGTCCATTTTATTTATTTGTTTATTTCATTTTACAGGTTTTGATCTAGGCGAGAGCTTTTCTCTGAGACGAGCATTTTGTGAAGGTGATAAAACCTGTTTCAAATTGGGAAATGCACTTCTTATTAGAGATACTATGTAAGTCAAATGGTCCTTCTTGTAATAGCACTAAGTAAACTCTTATCTGTAGAGATTCCAAATAACTTGCTTAGAATTAAAGGGAAAAAAGCTTTTAATCAGTCATTCTCATCTTATGGTAAATACGTATTTCTGTACTTTTTGCAAACAAGATATTTGCAATCTGGTCTTTTTTTCTGTAGTGTGATACTCTTTACATGCACAGAAACAGGTATAATCTTTAGAAAATAGTAATTAAACACACTTTTGAAGTTTACATTTAAAATAGACATAACCAATATTGGATTTAAAATGTGAAACTAAAACAGAAGCCACCATGTAGATTAAGAAACAAGACTAATTTTATAGTATGTCTTTACTCTGCTTCATGATAAATTAACAGAAACTAAGCCCTTAGATGTTCATCTTACATGTTGCACAAAATATACAATAAAACAAATTTTGATCTTGAAATTCACTTTAAATGTATTTTTACCAAAGTTCTGCTTTGTTTTATCTTTCTTTATTCTGATACTCAGAGGAATACAAAAAAGTCACTTGCCATTTAAATATTGACAGTTGGTCAGCAACTATTCAAGGCATTGATAGTTTTCCATGTGATTTTCAATAATTCAAAAATGAATTGATTGTAATTCAGAAAACTGAGTCACTAGCAAGGCAGGTAGTACATATGGTCATGATCTCTATTCCTTCAGTCAAAGGCAAACATTCTCCTATGAAGAATCTACGATGAAAAAAGCATCTACATTCTATTTGGCTTAATCCATAACATGGAGTTTTTTTACTCCCTTCTGGTTGGACTAGAGAATATTGTCACTTCCTTATAGATATACTAACAGTTAAGTGGCAAAATTGTTGATATATCAATATTTGAATTGCCAGAGGAAAATAGCATGTATTAGCTTATTGCCTATCCTTAGGTGCTTTGGATAAACAAGTTAATAAATTGTTTTTTTCTTGAAATTTTTAAACTTTTTGTGATACTTCAGATACTTTTAGTTTAATGACATGGCTTTCAAAATTAAAGTGCTCATGCATTAATAAGAAGCAGAATGTTAAAGAAGGGAATAATTTGACATTGGGGAACAAAATGGGTAATAGGTGGGGCACTTTGGATATAACCGTATGCACCTGTGCTACATTGGGCAGCTATTATGTGCCTTCGTGAACTGACATTAACTTCCCCAGGACATGGGGCTGGCATAAGGTTGGTGGGTAAAGAGTCTGCCTATCATAACATCACCCTACAGGGGCACCAGTTGTGGATCTCGGCTGCTGCACCTCTGATCCATCTCCCTAGCACAGGCCTGAGAGCAGTGGAGGATGGCCCAACTGTTTGTCTTCCCACCCATGTGGGAGGCTCCGATTAAGCTCCTGGCTCCTGGTTTGGCCTGGTCTAAAGCTGGCTATGTGGCCTTCTTGGGAATGAACCAGTTGAGGAAAGATTTTCCCCTAACCCTTGGCTGTTTCTCTGTCTCTCCTGTTTAACTACAACTTTCAAATTAAATAAATAAATAATCTGAAACAACGCCCAGGACACAATAGTTACATGTTTGTAATTGGACATTTTTAAAGGAATGCCAAAGATGCTATGCTATTAACTACGACAGCTAACATTAGGAAGATAATATATTCTGTTCCAAAAAGTAAAATGTATTTGTCTCTACCTTTTTGTCCGTCAATACCCCCATATTTCTGAACAAATGACAGAGGACTGTAATTAAAACGTTAAAAGTTCCTTGGGTGTGTAAGAAGACTGAAAAACATGCTATCACATTTAGACAGTGCTTTTCCCTGTCAAGTCCAGGTTATTCAGAATTTATTTTCTGATATTAGGCTCTACATCACTGCTCAATCCTTGGGAATCAATGAAAATGAATTCTCTGGCTCTGCAGAGAGCAGAATCCTGCCACCTGCACTACAGGAAACTGGAGGGTGTCTGGTTAAGCTGAAGAACGAGTGTCAAATAGCTTGGTTCATCTCTTCTTACATTTCTTTCAGTGAGCCAAGTATGCTAGGATGCTTCTCTTGCATGATGCCATTTTGATTTTTCAATGAGGCTGGAGTAAAGTTGCAGCTATTTATGTATTTGTAAATAAGCTGCCTTGCAGAGTCAGCATGGGAAAAGACAGATGCTATTTTATATGGAAAATGAGGTTGCGTTCCGTGCCTGAGCTTGTTTGTACAGTTCAGACATATTCCAGATGAAATTCATGAAGGGGGAGCTCGAATGAATGTGTTGATGAGATACCTATTGAGCTTACTCAATGATTTGAGCTAAGCCCAACAGGGAATTCCTGAAGGCTGTTCTTTAGGACCCCTTTACGATAAACGTCATACACATAGAGCTGGCACAGGTTCAGCAGCCATTGGTTTGTTTTGCATTGATATTGGAGGCTTTAAAGATTCTTATTTGCATTGTAGCTGGCTTTCTATTATGATGTTATAAAGGAAATTTTTCTTGACTGCTTCTATCCATAAATATTCTTGGTTATGTGAAAGAAATCATTACTTTTATGAATTTATTGAAAGCTGTATCTGAGAAGAGTATACATACATTATTTTAAATTGTGTTGTGCTGCTGCCCAGGCCAAACTGGTGAAATCTGAAAAGAATAACCCAACCCATACCCACACCTCCCCCACACGCATGGATCACTTTATTTTCTTGGCATGATATAGCTCCTATTATGCTTTTATTTTTTTTAAAAAAAATATTTATTTGAAAGCCTAAGTTAGAAAAAAAAAGGGGAGGGGTGTGCAGATCTCATTCTCCAGGTGGCCACCACAGCCGGCTTTGGGCCATGCCAGAATCTGCAGCTTCTTCCAGGGTTCCACTCGGGCTGTCTTCTGCTGCCTTTCAATGGCACATTAAACAGGGAGCTGAATCGAAAGTGGAGCAGCTGGAATATGAGCTGTGTCAGCACTGCGGGCGGCTTTTTGTTTGCCATGCCACAATACCAGCCTTTATTAGTTGATTTTATAGAAACTTATGTCAAGTAAAATACATCTTTGTTGTGAACATTTTAGAAGAGTTGATGATTGGAATTCCCATTTACTATTGACTCACAAGGGATCATGTGCCTTTAGCTGGACTGGCCAATGAGGGATTCAATTGCATAAAAAAAAAAAAGTAAATGTGCCTACTGACTATTAACTCAGGTATGCTGAAGTTTTATCTCCAAGGCTCTTGATACTAGTGGCAGTCTAGAATTCAGTGTTGAGAAAGGTTGAGGTCATTCAGTGTTCAGCATGTTAAGATGCCAAAATTGATACATTAAAGAAAAAGGGAAAGGAAGAATGTTTATATGGGCTCCAATCCTATAGCCTTTGTGACACAGGATAGATCTTGTAAACCTGGGGTTTTTGCAATAGAAGCAGTTTCTAAAAATGGGAGGAAATGAAGCTTATATGAGAAAAAAATAATCAATGCTAATTAAACTTCATGAGATTGGATAATGGAGCTAGCCACAGTGGTATAACCAGAAGAGTTGCTTATCTTTTGTCACAAATAAATCTGAGGGAATGAAGAATCAGTTCTCTCTCCTCCACTCCCTCCTGATGAAATTACTGCTTGTTTTATGGAAGCAGATAGCTTTTCATAGAAAAAAGATATAGATGTTAGGAGTTAGAAAATTCTAACTTATGTTTATACCTTATAGACATAGTAATCCTCAGTAAAAAGGAAAAATTTTCTAGTTTTGCAAAATAATGTTCTATAGGAGTCTTTGGCTACTGTTGAGTGGTTTATCTCTCAGGCATGTAATTCAGCATGGACCTCTGTTACTTTATTATTATAATAACTTCTATTGCTATAAAACTACAACATACAGGGAAGTTATTTATAATTGTCCAGGGTTATTTTCATAAGATACAGAGATTGAATTGTTACTTCATTTTAAGGACCTTCATGATATATTTCTAATTATATATTACATCACGTCTTTCCTTCTGTTCTGAATGCTTTATCTTCAGTTTTAGGTATTATTACATAAAAATTGTATTTTGATTTTTAAATTAAAGCTCATGCTATTGTCAGGAATTTATTTTATATTCCTAAAGTGTGTCACTTAATTGAAGGTCATGTGTTCTGGAGTTTAACCTTCTATTGAACAAACTTTTGCTCAGCATCACAATGGAATGGACATTTTTCTCTGCTCTGGACTTAGGTTAGTGAAAGGAAATTCATCTCTTCTTTCTTCTTGGGACCTGCTGGAGTGCAAGGAAAAACTTTTGCTTACTACCCTCCTGCCTTGACTTGAGAAGAAAGTGAGACATATTGCCTTACGTCCCTCTAACTTAAACTGTATGACTCAAATCTCATCTTCTACTATTGATGACAAATCTTCCTTAAACATCAGATACAAGGTTATTTTTCAGTATTTCCATTCCTTCATTCATGAGGTCCTATTTTTAAACTCATGTTTCATTTTTATTGTTATTCTTTGGGTTCGCCCCAAGTTCTCAAAACCAGTAATATTCTGAAGTTCAACACTAAGTTTAGCACTGTAATACTGAAATTTCTAATTGCTGGGCATTTTTAGAAGGATTTTTCACAATTGCACTAAGCCATGAAGAAGGATTATTTATGCATCCCCTGGGTTTTCATTTGGGATATGCTTTTGTTTTGTAGATAGGAAGTTTTCTATATAAGGACATGCAACTTAGTTAGAAAGTTGCCCAGCTGTTTTTATGAGTTTGACTGACTGTTACACATAATTCTTTATGTCATCACTGTACTTCCTTAATTATAGTTTGGCATACCAAGAATGTGAAGTGAATCATAAGGTCATGCATTCTTATAGTGAAAAGAAAAGCCTGTTACAAGTACCAAATTATCAAATGCAACTTAGTAAAATTATATATAATAAATAGAACAGAATATTAACATCAACTTAAAGATTTTAACACTGGGAAGATTTACTTCTCTTAAAAAAATTATTTCAAAGATTAAGTTACAGAATCAGAGGGAGAGACGTCGAGAGATAACTGTCTACAAAT